TCCCTACAATTTCCCTATCATGATTTTTCATCTCTGGTAGGAAGGAAATATGTAACATATATTCTTTCAAACTATACACATTTAATTCCATATCTATACTAATAAAAAGGTAATATGCTAATTAGACTGGGTCGACCGGACATCTTCCAGTCATCCTGCCTTCCTTCTGGACAAAGCCATAGTGGCAGGGGCTGAGGCAGAGGTGGTTAGGGACGATCAAGCCAGCAGGGAAGGGCAGTTAGGGGTGATCAGGCCAGCAGGGGAGTGCAGTTAGGGGGCAATCAGGCTGGCAGGAGAAGGCAGTTAGGGTATATCAGGCTGGCAGGGGAGGGCAGTTAGAAGTGATCAGGCAGGCAAGCAGAGGGGTTAGGGATGATCAGGCAGGCAGGCAGGTGAGCAGTTAGGAGCCAGCAGTCCCAGATTGAAGATGATGCAGGCTGAGGGACACCCATGCCCCATTCACAAATTTCGTGTACTGAGCCTCTAGTCTATCTATCTATCTATCTCTCTATCATCTATTTATCTATCTATCCATCTATCTATCTATCTATGATTTGACATATAGTTTCAGGGCTTCTGAGGACCCAAGATCCATCCTCTAAACTTAAACCCAGTTCAAATGTCTGTGAGACCTTGAGGCTTAATTAGGCTGAATGAGTCATCCACTTTCTATTTTGATAGCACTTAACTTATCTCTCATTTTTGTTACTGTAATGATTGCACTTTTTTCTTCTGCACTAGATAGTGACCTCTCTTTTTCTTTCCCTTGAATACCAAGCACACAGCATAAAGCTAAGCCAATGAACTTTGTATTTAGGAATTGATTAAATAATTGAATGAATTGGACTGGACTGGAAAATTTCATGGGAATAAGGGCCATTTCTGTGTTTAATGCCTGCTCTATGCCAAGTCCCTAACACAGTGCCTGCCATGTAGAAGAGATTTTGTAAAAATTAGTTGCTTAAACATTGAAATGCCTTTAGTTTTGTGCATTAAAAGTGACTGATAAGAGTTCTTAAGAGACTTTGTAAATAAGTAGAATTATTTTATTCCAACTTAATCTTTGGTGCAAAAGTTTCAATAGATATTCCTATCTCCATTAAACTTTTTATATCCTTACTCTCACTCCTCCCTCCATCCTACAACTCATTCATATATGACATCTTATATTTTGAATAGTCATCTTCTTGTTATCATACTGCATGAGCTGTCAACTCTGTTTCTTCTGTCTTTGCTTCTCTCATTCATATTTTTGATCAAGCAGAACAAATGCACTGGGCATTTACCATGTGTCAAGTATTTTGCCAGCTGCTGGCCATGAAGTACAATACTCAGTCACCCTCACCTCTTGCCCTCACAGGTGTAAATTTTCTATAGGAAGAGACAAACATGAGAAGAGTTTATTGTAATAAAGTTAATTAAGTATAAAGTACAGCATAGGAAATATAGTTAATAATATTGTAATAACTATGTATGATGCCAGGTGGGTGCTGAAAATACTGGGGTGGGGGGAGCACTTTGTAAAGTATTTGATGGACTTACCACTAGGCTGTGCACCTGAAACTAACAGAAATAATATTGAATATAAACTGCAATTGAAAAAAATCTACAACATAAAAAATAATATAAAGTTAGTTAAGTTCTGACACAGAAAGCAAAATGCTATTAGAGTTCAGGGAAGTTACAACTTTTTCCTGTGCCTCGAGTGCCGCTCCCTCCTGTCTCCCCTCCTAGTTAAAATCTGTTAATATTCTACTTATCCTTTAAGATTGTGCTCAAATCTTTCTTCTCTGTGAAGTTTTTATGAATGTTTTCTGTTTGATCTTCCCCCATTTGATCTTCCCTGGCCCTGATATGCCTTTCATAGTATTTGTTGCAATTCACCACGAGACTGTACACACCTATAGATTAGGAGTTGTGTCCTTTCCATTTTCCGTGCCCTCACACAGTTCTTGAATGATGTATGGCCGTGGTCGGCAAACTGCGGCTCGCGAGCCACATGCGGCTCTTTGGCCCCTTGAGTGTGGCTCTTCCTAAGCCTTAGGAGTACCCTAATTAAGTTAATAACAATGTACCTACCTATATAGTTTAAGTTTAAAAAATGTGGCTCTCAAAAGAAATTTCAATCGTTGTATTGTTGATATTTGGCTCTGTTGAGTAATGAGTTTGCTGACCACTGGTATGGGATGGACATACTCGTCCTTAGTTAGTCAAGACATCCCCTCAATCACACCCCACATCTCACCACATGATGTATTTCCTCTCGCTCTTTACCTTTATGTCATGATAGGTTGCCATGACTACCATTATGCCATTGAAACATTGCTCTCCTGCTTAACTTCTCTCTTTTGAATTCAGAATGAGGAACTGATAGATCAACTAAGTGGATAATTTGTCTTCTAGTCAGACAAGTGTTTGCTTCATAGTGGAAATCCACTTACTGTTAAGTGATTTCTTGCATTTGGAAATATTTTTTTTATTCTTTTGGTATCCAGATCTTTGTTCCAATTTTTTCTGGATTCCAAATAAATGATTTTGAAATTATAAGAAAATTTTCAGGCTTCATTTTCAGGAATAGTTTATTATGTTTAAAATATTCCATATGTCTCAGGTCTATGTGCTGAAGGGCCTAGAGATATATCTGCTTATAAGAAACAGAGAGAGCTCATCACACACTACAGGCCAAAGTTAATGGTTCAACAGTGCCCTAAAGCCACCCCTACCACAAAGCTCAGAATGTAAAATATTTCCTTCATTTCCTTTTCTTGCATGCTATATAGGTCTGATAGCTTTGAAATAGACTTTTTAATTTCTTTTGGTTAAAACTAGTTATGGGGGCCAAATATTTGGTGATTAAAGATGACTGTGGGTGGTGGATACACAATTCAATATACAGATCATATATCATGGAAATGTACACTTCAAAGCTATATGATCTTATTAATAAAGGTCACCCCAGACGGGATGATGTGGTATGTGTAACTGTATGTCTCAGTATAATTTTTCCAGCCTCAACTAACTGCTGAGCAGAGGTGTTTATTCTTAATTAAGAAGCTAGTTAAAGCTTTGGCTCAATGGATAGAACATCGGTCTGTGGACTGAAAGGTCCCAGGTTCAATTCTGGCCAAGGGCACATACTGGGTCAGGGTGCCTGCAGCGGCCCCAGTCAGTGCTGGGTCACCACAGCAACCCAGCACTGACTTCCGGTCTGGTTGAGCCTTCGGTGGTAACGGTCGTTATGACCCTGGCTCTTGATTATATAGGATTATTTTTTATTTTTTTAATATATTTTTTATTGATTTCAGAGTGGAAGGGAAAGGAATAGAGAGATGGAAACATCAATGAGAGAATCATTGATCAGCTGCCTCCAGCCCGACCCCTACTGGGGATCGAACCTGCAGTGGGACCCCCCCACCCCCACCCCAGTGCAGAATTTTCATGCACCAGGCCTCTAGTAATAATAATAAAAAAATAAGAAGTTAGTTAAAGACCTTTACTGAGCTATCTAAAAAACTGAGTTTTAGCTCTGCACTGTGTTATCTGGAATATCTCTTTATTTTTCTATCTCATTTTTTTCTACTTGTAAAACTATAACATATTTAGTCTGATTTGTCTACTTAACAAGGATTTAAGAAAAGCTAACAAATGAGAGAAATAGCTTTGAACTGTTTAAATAGAAGGTATCACAAAACTCAAATAGAATTCTAAAGATAGTCTAAACTTGATTTAAACCAAATCTGACATAAATTCATTATGAATACAGTCCTTGTGGCCTTATACTTTGTGATAACCTAAGAGTATTGAAACCATTGGCTGATGTGACAAGTGTCTAGAAGCTTTTATCAAAACAGGATAAATTGTATTTAGAAAATCACTTAACTGAGCATATATCAGCTTCCTTGTGATGATAACCCACATGAATCATCTTTTTAGTGCTATTCTTAAAAGACATATTTCCTGTTACAAAGAATTACAAAATGTACCACTTTGTGTAACTGTCATATTTCAAAACACATGCTCCAGGAATTGAAGCAAGAAAACCTTAAGTATACGAGAATTAAAGTTAAGTATGTGAATATAGGAAGTTGAGAGTACAAGCCAGTAACAAACTCATAATTTTAAAGATCTAAGGGAACTTAGAGATATTTAATCCTTTTTGTCATATTTGAATTATTTTTAATATATATTTTTATTGATTTCAGAGAGGAAGGGAGAGGGAGAGAGAGATAGAAACAATCAATAATGAGAGAGAATCATTGATCGGCTGCATGTCCCACACTGGGGATGGAGCCTGAAATCCCAGCATGTACCCTGATCGGGGAGTCGAAACATGATCTCCCGGTTCATAGGTCAATGCTCAAGCACTGAGCCATGCCGGTTGGGCTGAATTATCGGTAAGACTCATAAAAAATACATTTTGTTTTTAGATCTGGAGTCTGTAATATCCAATTTCAGCACATAGGAAAAATAGAAGAAAAATACCAAAATTTTTGTACATGACCAATATAGTGTTGCAACAGAGTGATCAAGAATGCCAAAATCAGACATCTAAATTAAGCCTAGTTTCCAAGCAGGGTGACTGAATTCCTGAGTTAATATAAACAGTGAAGAAATGTAGAAAAAAATGAAAAATAATTGTGTGTTCTTTTAAATAGTAGAGCAAGCAGCTAAGTTACCTTCGTTGTTTTTCAATACTTTAACCTTGCTTCACTGTTAATATGAGATTCCCAGAATCCAAATACTGTATGCTGAGACAGGAAGCTGGTGCTCTTGAATTTATATCTCAGTTCAGAACTTAAATTTTCTTTTGCAGAAAAGATAACGGAACTTAATGCATTTAATCTTTGTAGAAACATTGTCAAATAGTTGAGCAGAATAGCTTAGCAAAAGGTGCAGCCAGCAAAGATATTTGTATATTTTGTGCAAAATTACCTATGTGCATGTGCTTGTATGTTTTCTATGCATGTATCTAAATAGAAAACATCTTTTACTTCTTACAGGGATGTCATAAAGTACAGGACTTTCATAATGTGGTACCTGAAGGCATGAACTTGAGTTTTCTCTTAGCCTTGTTTTCAAATAATGGAAATTACACATGCGTTGTTACATATCCAGAAAATGGGCGTGCATTCAATCTCACCAGGACTCTGGCTGTAAAGGTGGTAGGTAAGCATGATTTGTATTATGTGTGCAGGATAAAAATGAAATAATCTTGGTTTTTTTTCTGTTAATAGTTTATTAAAAACAAGTGTGTAAAATCCGTGAGAAGAAAAAGAACTTATTTTTTTTTCTTGTTTGTTTATTGCACTCTCCCCAGAGCCTCTAGCATTTCCACATACATAGTGGGCATTTGGTAACTATTGGTCTATTGCGTGACTATGTAAATAAGTGAAGTAAAGTCAGTGAAAGGAAGACCAGACAGATCTGTGTCCAAACTATGCTACTGCCATTGAAGAGCAATATGATTTTGCTCAAAGTCTCAGTCTCCTCATCTGTACTCTGGGACTTAGATTACCTAACATTCAGGATAGCTGAGAATATTAGACATAATATACAGGCAAACAGTGGAGACTGAATAGTAATGAATAGTAATTAATATTATTGTCCACAATCTGTTTTAATAGAATTAAATAAACTATGAATTTCTGTGTACTGCTGTTGTAGTTAATGCTCAAGGTATTTGCATGCAGTGTTCAACCACTGGTTTGAACTGAAAGAAGAGGGGATGGGAAACTGGGGAAGTGACCGGACAATGTCTACAGACTCCTGTGAAACCCACAACCAAGAGAACCAGTGTTAGGATATGTGGTATTTAGAGCAGAACCCTAAATACCATTGTGCCCACTGTATTAAAATTAGAGAATATCAGAGTGAGATTTTATGAAACCCCATTTTTTTTAAAGAAAAAGGCAATTTATTATCTTTTTTTAATTTCTGTAAATCATTGGTATAAGGTATTTGCACATTTTTTGGGGGTGGGGGGGATGAAAATCCTATCTTTTAATAGATGGAAACATTGAGGCCCAACAACAGAAAGCAACCTGCTTAGTTAGGGACGTTCAGTGCATTGGTAGAAGAAGTGATTCTAAAGCCCAGGTTTTTTACTTTTTGTTTAAGGCTTTTTCTACCAGTCTGACACCAGATTCAGCTTATGTATTTCTTTAAAACAAATTTAACATAGTGCAAATAAAATTCAAATAAAACACTTTTGTAACCACTTTCTTTCTCTGCTTACTTTCTGAATAGTGCTGAGTTGGGAACTAATTCAGAAGAAAAATCAGACTAAATTTAGAGCCTAACAAGAATGGACTTTAAAAGTCAAATGAATAATCTAACCTTATATTCATGTTGGCAGTTGTTCCTAATATATATATTTAAATGCAGTGGGTGCTTTAATATGCATCACTTAATTAATATGCAGCACAACAATACCCCCCAAATTAAGATAATTTAACTTAATTTAATTCTTATAATGAACTTGTAAAATGAGTTTAATTACTCTCATTTTAGAGATGAGGAAAATTAGCTTTTCAAAGATTTATTAAAAAATGGTCATGTGGTTAGTAAATGACCAAGTTGGGATTAGAACACCTATTGGTCATTAAATCTTTGAAGCCTCTACTCTTAAATAATACAATATAAATCTCCTTCAGGATATTTTTCATTCAATTTAGGAATACTGAATGTTATAAAGAGCATTGATCCTATGAATGAACCTTTAACTGATAACTGGACATCAGGTACCCTTAGGGGCTGGACTCATCATTGTGATTTTGGATTTTCCATATACTCATTCATTCATTAATACTTATTTAATTAGGTCTTATACTAGACACTCTGGGAATGTTGAAGAAAAATATGTAGAAAAGAAACAACTGAGCAAAAACAGGAGAGCAATTAATTATGATGTAGTCTGACAAGACTATATCTCATGTAAGCTTTGGAAAGTGAAAACACTGGTTAAGCATTCTATTCTGAAATATGGAGGATAATCAACATATTATGTTTGTTTCTTTGCTTGTTTTGTATGACTAAAATGTTATAATCCACTTTATAGTGAATATATTCCATCTCAGATGCATAATGTAGAATTTCTACGTGTAAATTGGCTTCAGACTTACTGACTGAAATTCTTCTCAAGAAGAATTGACAAACCACGCCAGAAGGTTGGGCAAGACTTCACAGAAGATAATATTTTTGAAATGGGTTAACAGGGATAAAGACTTCATGACTTAACACCATCTCCCATTGTTCTTTGCTCTCTCACAGGCTCTCCAAACTCTGCATTGCCCCCCCAGATCCACTCACCCAATGATCTTGTGGTCTATGAGAAAGAACCAGGTAATTACAGCTGTGGACTCTGAATTTCAATTAGATTATCTTAATTATAAGGAATAAAATGCCACAGAAGTTAACACAAGAGAAGAGAGGGCTATTGTAAAAAACAAAACAACAACAACAAAAAAACCCAAACAAACAAACAAAACAAAAAACCACAGGCACTGAAATTGATGTCAGAAACCATGGTAGCTCCGTGCATTGGCTACCTCCTGAATCTCATGAGGAGCTCAGGGATTCTCTGCTTCTCTCTCAGCAGCTGCTGCTGTCCTCTTCCTCTGCGGGCAGGTTTCCCCGCCTGAGGAGGGATTTCTTTTTGATGCAAACTGAAGCTTGCATAGGGTTTTGGTTTGCCATGCCTGCAGCATGAGCACAAGCTTCCTTCAAGCTTCTGTTCCACTACAAAGGGGCAGGGTTAAAGCTTGGAGTCAGGACTGTGAATATAATAGGTAACATCTGATACAACCAATAAGTCCTGATTCAGAACACTACGAAATATTTGCTATGGTCATCTGGGTCTCTTTTTAGTTTTCAGATTTTTTTCATTCCAGGGAAATATCACTTGTAACTGATCAAATAAGGTATGATTTATTTATTATTCTTCTGACTCAGAGCCTCCCACAGGTAAGCTGGAAACTGCAGAAAATTTTTAACATTTTCTGAATTCTATCTTTTACGAAAATTCAAAACAAACACCCAGTGAGAGCTATAAAAGAACATTTGTTTAAAACATACTAAAGTTAATAGAGGCAGTGACCAACATAAGTAGAGAACACAGTACCCCCCATATTAAGATAAGGTTTCAAATAGCGGTGTGCCTTGTAAAAACACAAAGAACACAGCCTCAAATGGACCAAATTTTCTTGATTCAGTACTGGTTTTATGTAGTAATATAAACATTCTTCCTGCAATCGGGGTAAACACTTATTAATCATCTAGATATATTCCATATACTCATCACATTATGGTTGCAAAAGCATGCCTGAATCCAATGTCACTATCTTCTATACTATATTGATATGGAAAACTGGAGAGGAAGGCATAAAACCACACATTGGAAGAGAGGACGGCGTATGAGCACTAAGGGAGACAAACCTGGGTTCAAATCAGGATGACAATATAATTTATCATTTCAACCTGGACACCCTTTGATAGTGAAAGCAGTTGATATTAATAACTAGGAAAGCAAGCATACAACAGACCTGTCCTGGGCATCTAGGAATAGAAGGTCATTCTAGGTCAAATTCCGGTCTGCTATTTATTAACAATTTGATCGAGGCATGGCATTTGACATGTTGAAGCTTCAGTCTTCACATCTGTAAAACATGCATTTTAAAAATGCTTCCTAAAGGGCTGGAGCCCAGGAGCTCAGCACTGCTGCTCACCATGGAGGACCTGCTGCAGGCCACTGCCTGCCTGGAGCCCTCCGTCAGTGAGCAGGAACTGCTTTGGTACAAGTGCATCCAGTGCAAGTTTGCCGCCTGCTAGGGGCCTCCTGCAGTCTGGGACCCAACCCCACCCACAGCGGCTACAGCTACCTGGGTATTCCTAAAAACCTGAGAGAGCAAAGGGCTCTGTCTCAGGCTGCCATCGACTCACCTGAAGGCTGCCTACCTCTCGGAGATCCCCTGGGTGCCAAGTGGGGAAGGCCTGAGAGAATTCAAGAAGCATCCCCTGCCCATTTTTCCAGGCCAACTCCAACACTAAGGCCCATCTGCTCAGGAAGTGGGGTGGGGGCCTGGGAGTTCTGGGAACTGGGCCCTGAGGTGGCCTGGTTGATAGCTAAAAATAGTGTATGCTGCCCTCTGGAAAATTAATTGATTAATTAATTAAAATAAATAAAAATTGCCTCCTAGTAGTTTGTTAAAATTAAATAACATTGATAAGTAAAACTATTTAGCCTAGAAAATTATAAGAAATTCTCAGTGAGTGTGCTGCTTATTATTATTTTTATTATTATTACTTCTACTACCATTTCTGCCTAGAAATCCCCCAACCTCATATTCCATCTCAGAAAGATAATGTAGAATTTCTACATGTAAATTGTCTTCAGACTTATTGGCTGCACCGGATAACTGCAGCATGTCCCGGTGAGGCCTGTCCAGACAGTCCTCTCAGCCTCGGCACCGTCCCATCGCCTCTGGGCCAAGGACCAAAGATCTGGAGAACCTGTTCTTAGTCATCCCTTGCTTCTGAGTGATTTAACAAAGGAGAGTAGTCCATAGAGGGTTAGGGCTAAAAAGGATGTTATCAGAGCCTTTTTGAACAAATACATTTTAAAATATACGTAGATTGTATTAAAAGATGGCCATTCTCATAATTTTATAAAAGCTGCTTTGCTTCTTTTCTTGGTTTGTTTGTTTTGCAGTGAAGTATGGTACATCACCTTATGGTAGCCCACTAGAGAATTAGTGAGAAGTAGGGTTATAGATACATGTAACATTTGTAGCTTCTGAGTAGTCAGAGTAGAACCAATATAGCCATGTGAAGGTTACAAACTAAAGGGTTTACTTGTTTGTTTGTTTTAGGAGAGGAGCTGCTCATTCCCTGTAAAGTCTTTTTCACTTACCTGAAGGACTCTCGCAATGAGGTCTGGTGGACCATTGATGGGAAAAAGACAGATGACACCACTATTGACGTAACTGTTGATGAAAGGTATCACTGGTGGAGGCAAGGGGGTGACTAAGGCTGTCCCTGACTAATGCGCTCTGCTTTGTACTAATCAATGAAAATAAAAATTCTAACTTTTGCCTCACTAACAAAAATCAGCAAGATTTTAGCTGCATCCCAAGGCAGGATTCCTGGACTTGTAATTGGAAGCCCAGGTGCCATCTGATGATCACACATTTATGAGACCTACTTGAAAGTAGCTAGAATGCATATCCTATATGAGTGAAAGGGTCACAATATAAGATTATAGATAGAATCCTGTCATTGTGGCCCTGTTCTCTTTCTCAAGTCTGGAGTTTGGGCCTGTAAGCATTTGTGCCTGAGGTCATTGTGTTCATTTCTAGTCTTGCAGTAAGCATGTATTTCTCTCTTTCTTGTTCTCTTTCTTAATTCACATAACACATATGTCACATTTATCATTGATAGTGATTTTTTTCATATTGACTCAATACATTCATGATCTCTAGATTTTATTTTTAAAGTAGATGGGGTGGCAATATATACTTCACTCTTAAAATAACATGCTGGATCACTTTGTTTCAAAATAAAATGACTTTTTAAAAAGGGATTTGGGTTGGCAAGGAGGAAAATATGGGTCTTTGAAGACAAAGGTTCCCCCCATAATGAAGTATACAACTACAAGAGAGCAATTGGTTCACTGCAACACTGAATAAAAATTAGTAGCAAACCAACTATAGACAAAGTAGTTCTAAGACCATAAGCCTTATCACCAATGTGTAACTAGGTCTTAGGCTACTAAAACTTCTAGAATTCAAAATATTTTTTTCCTAGTAGTAAACTTAGACTTTGTACAGATATTATAAAATGCTTTCATTGCCTCAGGTACCTGAGTAGATTCTATAGGAGTAACAATGATAGAGCAGAAAGTTCAATACTTTAATCTGATACATGCAGAGGCTGGGAGGTATTATATGGTATGGGAGGATTTAGTTGGGGAGTCCAATCCATTTTGGGGGATTAGGTAATGCTTCTCAGATCTCACCGTACTGAAAAAAATACTTGAAAAATGAGTAGAAATAAACTAGATAAAGACATCTAAAGAATGTTCCTGGTGAAAGGAACATCATGTGCAAATGCTTGGTGGTGAGAGCAGCAGAACACATTTAAAGGTGCTGAAGGAGCTTGCTGAGATGGTAGCAGTGTTGGCAGAGGGAATGGATGAAAGAACTGGCTAGAAGTATAGAGGGAGAATTACTGATCACATGAGGAATTCTGAGGATTGTGCTTTTGTCATAATGATTGAATAATAATGAAAGTCATGGCTTTCCTCCTTGCTGCTATTAAAACACAGCTCACTGTTTACAGTTGAGCAGTACATTGAACTTGGCTAAACCCACTACAGTTTTTAACCAAGTTCCCATGACTGACACTAAACGTTTTCAGAAGAAGAACCTGGCTGTTGGTCAGCTTTAATAGCTTTTTTTTTCCTTTTTGAAAAAGTAGTTCAAAGGGATTTTAAATCTTGGTCTTAGACCCAAAGTACTTGATCTCTGACTTGCTTAGATTTAGATATATTTATGCTCACAAGGTTTACTTACTCAGTAGTTTCATATATATATATCCTAATAAAAGAGAAACATGGTAATTAGCCATAATTTCGCTACCCTTCTTATTGGCTAATCAGCGAGATATGCAAATTAACTGCCAACCAAGATGGCGGCCGGCAGCCAGGCCCCTGAAGCGAACAGGAGGCTTGCTTGCTCCAGTGATGGAGGAAGCCAAGGTTCCCCGCCTGCCTGCCGGTCTCTGAGCTGCTCTCTAAGAAACATTGTTACAAATATAGAAGCTAAACAAAACCCCAGAAACCTGCTTTCAGTCGAAGGACTCTCGCAATGAGGTCTGGTGGACCATTGACGGGAAAAAGACAGATGACACCACTATTGACGTAACTGTTGATGAAAGGTATCACTGGTGGAGGCAAGGGGGTGACTAACGCTGTCCCTCAATCTAATGCGCTCTGCTTTGTACTAATCAATGAGAATAAAAATTTTAATTTTTGCCTCACTAACAAAAATCAGAAAGATTTTCGCTGCATCCCAAGGCAGGATTCCTGGACTTGTAATTGGAAGCCCAGGTGCCATCTGATGATCACACATTTATGAGACCTACTTGAAAGTAGCTAGAATGCATATCCTATATGAGTGAAAGGGTCACAATATAAGATTATAGATAGAATCCTGTCATTGTGGCCCTGTTCTCTTTCTCAAGTCTGGAGTTTGGGCCTGTAAGCATTTGTGCCTGAGATCATTGTGTTCATTTCTAGTCTTGCAGTAAGCATGCATTTCTCTCTTTCTTGTTCTCTTTCTTAATTCACATAACACATATGTCACATTTATCATTGATAGTGATTTTTTTCATATTGACTCAATACATTCATGATCTCTAGATTTTATTTTTAAAGTAGATGGGGTGGCAATATCTACTTCACTCTTAAAATAACATGCTGGATCACTTTGTTTCAAAATAAAATGACTTTTTAAAAAGGGATTTGGGTTGGCAAGGAGGAAAATATGGGTCTTTGAAGACAAAGGTTCCCCCCATAATGAAGTATACAACTACAAGAGAGCAATTGGTTCACTGCAACACTGAATAAAAATT